GAATGTATTATATATATATATTGCATGAATTTATATTTTAAATAGTAATTGTTTTTAAATATTAATACAATATGGTGATTAATTTTTTTACACAAAAATATTTATTTTTACTTTATAAGATATACACAGTGCTACTTAGGATGCATGGTGAACAGTATAATAAAACAATTTCATCTAGATTCAAAACAAATTTTGTTTTAACTCAATGCATCATTCTGTTTTCTGAATGAGTGAAATATTCCATTCTAAAAGAAATAAAAGTAAAACTGAAATATTCAAATAAAATTTTATGACAAGTGAAATATTTTGTAATTTAAGATATTATAAAAGCAGAAATAATCTAGATTTTGGTCATTTTTTTAATACAAGCATAGAGAAAATGTTTTATAAGCATACCATCAGGAAAAGTGAGAATTTGATTGTGCATTTCTGCAGCTTTAGAAGCTTCTTCGATCTCTTCATCAGATGCTGAAGGTCTACCATATCCAATATTAAACCTGGGGACAAAAAAAAAAATCTTCTTTACTGTGTATTATAAGAGTTGGTGTCGTATTCTCTATTGAATCATATTTCATGGAGTGCTTGAATAGTTTTTGTTATTTCTATGGCATTAAATGAATACAAATCCTCTTATGTGGGATAGTTTAAGAGGTGAAGGCCTGCAGCGACTGCAGGGCAGTTAAAAACATGATATGGTGTCAGTTCCACATTAAGACAGTTGCCACAGTTTTGATATTTTCTAGTCCCACCTGTAGAAATTTTCATGTTTTTATGATGTTTTGTTCTTAGTCTTATGAGAGTAGTGGCTGTCTTCCTATCGATGTCAAGATTAGTTATTTGATCGTGTGCTTTGATTTTTAAAGGGGTGAATAGTCTTGACTTTGCAAAAGCATTTGCATCTGCCAACCTGGTTGGGATTGTATTTTGATTGAGATCTCTGGCATTTTTAGCCAAGGAATCAGCTATTTCATTGAACTCTAGGTTCACATGGGCGGGAATCCACTGCAAGAAGCATTTTTTCCAGAGACGCTGAAGTTGTCCAAGTTGTTCTACGATATTCAGGATTAGGCTTGAGGTACCTTTGCTGAACGCCTGTAAGGCAGACCTGCAGTCGCTGAAGATGGTGATACCACTAAGCTCCTCCGAAGGTTCAAGATTGATGTACATTTCGATTGCCATAGAAATGGCTATCAATTCTGCTGTAAAATTAGATGCAATTTTCACAGCACCAGTTGCGATCTCTCGTTTTTGATCATCAGGTAAGAGCAGTACCACTCCCGCACCTCCGTGCTACATATAGCTAGTATGAAATATTGAGTAAAATGTAATGGTATTCGCTAAAGATTGTATAGCGGCATATACTTTGATTGCAAATATTTATCCTAATTATGTTAATGCAATAAAAAATATCTATGAACTTGTTCAATTTTTAAGTGATTGCATTAATAAATTATATTATTTTAGATAATTAATCCAAAGTTTGTAATATCAGTTTTAATTGAGGTTGATTCTGGTTAAGTGCAGTTTTTAAAAGCTGTATCAAGCAAAAACTTTATTATATACTCAATGCAATGAACTTAAAATATCTTAGAGTCTGTATTTAAGGAAAAAGGATGAAAATAGGCAACTCCTCCATCTTTTGAGGAGGGTTACAATAAAAGGGCACATGGTTTAATTTTAAACACATAATCACTACTTATTTAAACATTGTTGATGTTACTATGTCAGTCACTGAAGAAGCACATACAAAAATATTAATGACTCCTGTGATTAAATTTCTTCAATGCCTTGAAATGCAAACAAACATTTTACAGTAGATAAAATTAACAATTTATCCATAAAGAAGTCTAGTAGCTAAAACTTACATATTTTTTTATAAATATTTTAATATGTAATATTTTTAATGAAATTTTATTTTAAAATCTATTCATAATTGCATAACAAATTCAATAAATTTTAATACATTTTTTATCATTAAATAACATGTTTATTTAGAGAGCAAATAATTTTTTCTGACCTAATAGATTTGTTAAAAAGGACAGTGTCTTGGGGAACTACTCCGATACACTGTCGTACAGATTTCTGAGTAACCTAAAACAGAAATGAAAAATATCTCAAACAATAAAAAACAGAAATGAGAAGGACAATGATCTTTTTATCCTATTTATATGAAAAGAAATCTCGTAAAAACTTTATAAATATAATTTTAAAACAAATTGCAAAGAATCTTACAAACAAAAAGTCCATTTTCAAAAAAGTTATATTGGGAGCTATTAAAAGTTCTTTTCCAGAATGTATGCTTCAAATGCTTTTTTTTTAAAACATCTCAATGATTAGATAATATTTCAATTATCGATATTTTCTTATATAATCAAGCAAACAAATTGCTTCAATAGTAAGATTAATATAACTAATGTAATATGACTTATATAATATGACTTATATAATAAACAAATAATGTTAATGAGTAGCATAAACTCTTAATAAAATTATATCTGTAAATATAATTAGAAAAAATTAAAATAGAGTCATTTGACACCATTTATATCTTACATAGTGAATACGATAGATTTTGCAATTCACAGTTGATTTCATAAATTATAAGTTGATGTTCGCATAATTTTTTTAAACAGAGTAAACAAAAATCAATGAAATTCTACAGGTGAAAAAAATTACTTATTGCTTTGTACAAAACATTGAACAATTAAATGAAAAATTTTTGGTAGAGCTGAAATTATCTGTTTACCCTAAAAATTTTTTTTTACAAATATGATTTTCCAGTCTTTACTTCCTTACTGCAACCTTAGCTGAGCTATTAATTTTCGCTTTTAATCATTATAAACGAATTAAATAAAATATCAACTCATTCTCCAATAATTTACAAACATAAAAACAATAAGAATTTAACACTGTAAAAAATAATCACTTTAGCTATATTTTGTCCATCAATGAAAATTTCTCCAGATTGCACATCATAAAGTCTAAATAAAAGTCTTGTTATTGTGCTTTTTCCACTGCCTGTAGGGCCAACCTGAAATAATTAAGTAAATTAATTACTAAATTAATTAAGTAGATTAATTAATAAAAACTTTTTATTTAAAAAAAGAATATGCTGTTATGCAAAAGTAATTTTTATTGGTTGACTATTTAAAAAAGCTTCAAAACCAGTTCTGTAAGTTATCTCATAAATTTTTTTATGATAAATTTTTTTGTTAAGAGAAAGTATAAGAAAGTTTTGTTAAGAAAAAGTAGAGAAAGTATCATCAGATTATCAGAGTAAATTATATAAATTGCTTAAAAAGAAATATATAATTTTTTTCCTTTGATGATTGTTGCAGTCAGCATAAAAAAGCAAATCCTCTCTCACACTCACAATGCATTTGCTTTGTTTGAATACTTCTTAAATATGAAGAACTTTATCATGATTGCTTTACAACAATAAACTTTAAAAATAACAAGAATCTTAATAAATTACGTATTTATTTTTGAAAATCAGAGTGAATGAAAGGAACAAAATATTTTACACATAAAATTATATGCACTGAACTAACTAAAAAAAGTAGACACATAGGTTTAGTTGAATTTTTTTTTCATTAGGTAATAAATGTTATTCAAGTTGTAATAAAATCATAAGGTTTAGCTTTGAAAGAAATTTATTTATTTCATAAAGCATCTAAATTCGTTTCATGAGAATTTCAGTGTATGTTAAGAACTTAGTTTTAATTATTTTAGTAAGGAGATAAGTTTTTCTCTTTCGAAATATTTTAAATTTCTGTGGGGGAAAAAAAAACATGTTTAGTCCTATATCTACCATGCCAATCCCTTCTACAAATTAAGGTTAAAATCCATTTTTCAATTTCAGGTATTACAAGGATATTATAAAATGAAAAAGTTGCCCAACTTACCAATGCAACAGTGCGCCCTGGAGGAACTTTAAAACTAATGTTTTTCAGGATTTGACGCCTAGAAAGCAGATGGATCAATAAAAGTTGTTCAATCTACAAAGAACATCATAAATTTAATGAATAAAAAAGAAAAAAATTCTTACTCAGGAACGTAAGAAAAATTAACATCTCTGAATTCTATTCCTCCAGAACCAATTTTCAATGGAAGGGCATTTGGAATGTCAACAATCTAAAAAAAGTAAAATAAAAATCTTTAAAAAAAATAAGGTCACTGATCTTAATTCTGCTTTAACGTTTTTAAATGTCCTTGTTACAGACATGCATATACATCAAAGTTTTTTTAAAAAGAATTTTTAATAATAAGATAAATTGAATAAGAACAAGATAAGCTGATCACACCAAACAGTAACTAAACACAAGTTATTTATAAATTAACTAAAAATGGAAATTAAATATTCTTTTTTGTGCTAAATTTATAGAATAATTATTTCATAAACAATAGCATTTTACAGATCCTTATTTTTAAATAAAACAACTAATTTCATTAATTATTCATTATTTTGCTGAAGTGAATTATTTCTTACAAATAAATTGCATATTGCAACATTTTANTTATAGAAATAACAATATATATTTTTAATAAGCTAACAACTAATGATTAAAAAACAAGCTAACAACTAAATACAATTTAAAAATAAAAACTAGCTTTCAAATAATAAAAAAAAATTGCAATTAATATCTAATAAAAAACAAAAGAGATTGATTTACATCGAATAAAAAGAAGCCTCAAAAGGGATAGAATTCATTTTGTATCCCACTTGGTAGTTTCAATTTCAAAAGGGTGTGGCTAATTTATGGTCAAACTGGAGAGGGGGGAAAAGGGGACAAATGAGTAGAGCATTTCCACAGCTGTCAAGATTGATTTATCAGTTTCTTCCAACTTGCATTTCTTTATTTTGTTCATTGGAAATGCAGATGTTTTTACTTTTCCCTTTATTTTAAACTGCTTATAGAAACAGATGTTTCCTTTGACTCAGATTTGTTTTCATGTTTTTTTTTTGTTTTTATTTTAAAGATAAAATAAAGTTACTTCATCAGAATAAAATTCAAATAAAAGAGAATTATACTGATTTTTTTTTTCTCTTGTTAATAAAAATTTCTTCTAAGAAAAAAAAAAGAAAAAGGGATCAGATTAAGTGCTGAATATCTGGCAGTGAAGAATCAGATTTCGATGGTTTTGAATAGATATATGCTCAAAAATATTTGAAAAGTATAAATAAATAAATGCTGATTTATTTTGTGATTAGTTTATTTTTTATCACATACACATCCTTAACTTAGGATCATTCTCAATTCTTTTTTTTTTATGATAAGTATACATAAAAATGATGATGATAATGTAATGAGTATACATAAAAAAAAATATTTATCAATAACTTTTTTCTAAGTATAGAGTTTATGTTTTAAAGATTATTATTTTTATGAGTATTTTCACACATGTGATATTTGATAAAAATCGATGATCGATCGAAAAAACGAAAGTGCGGCCTATAAGATGAAAATTGAAATTTTTAACGATGTTTTTTGCGGGTGCGGCCTATTTACCAGAAATTACTGTAATTTTTATATTTTTTGTATTGATTTTTTCTTTTATAAAATGAGTTTTCGGATTATACGTGTTTTTCGATTGTCCGTGCGACCTGTCCCGGTGATTAACCCGGATAATCGGGAGTGCACTGTAGTTTAAAATTAGCAAACTATCTACAATTACCTTAAAAATATTCAGGTACTGCCATCAGGTGTGTAAAATGAGAAATAAAATGTTTTCCGGGCAAAAGAAATGAATTAGTTTTATTCTCATTGGCGCGTTACTACGGATCACTCCAGCCCGTCAATATCACAGGAGCGAGAAATAGCGTGTGAAAACTCACCCCCTCATTTTCACTGGAGCGAGAAATAGCGTGTGAAAACTCACCCCCTCATTTTCACGAGAGCGAGAAGGAAGAGGTTAAACTATTCACCGAGAGCACATAGAGAATACAGGTTGAATTTAGTCAGTTAATAAAGTTTAAAAAAAATCACTAACCTAATACGATGACTGCCATTAATAAAATTATTGGGTTATAAAATCTGCCAATTTATAAAATCAAATCATCATAATATGCTGAAACCATCCTTTTATGGAATTATGATCCCATTTTGTAAAATCAGTTTTTTGTAGGGCATATGTTTAAAATTCTGCTTTTTCTTTCTATTTTTGCAAGTTTCGAAAGCGTTTTAATAACAAATTTCACTATGCCACCTACTAACAAAAAAATAAATAAACAAAGGTGTGAATAGTACTTCTCAAAGAAATTGAAGGATCTGATTTAAAGAATTGTAAAATAAAAATTAAGGGGTAAAGAATTTAAACATTCTGTTATCATTATATATCAACCAAACTCCCATTAATTTAAAAAGCAAAAGATTTAGCATGTTTTCAATTTTTAATCCTTATTAAAAAATAAATAAATAATACAGTGACTGAAGTATTATGTTTCTCTAAAGGAATGTACTGTTCGAACACAATCAATTCAAATCGTTCTGATAGAAGTAAAATATGATCTCTCATATTTTCTACTAATTAATGACTGACAACAACAATCAGGCTGAAGCATAGTGAAAATTCAAGATGTAATTTATCTGAGCAAGGCATGAGAACTTCTCCTTACACACACGAGTGTATACATAGGTAGTTCTGAGAAAGGTACAAAATTGTAATAAATGTAAATAAGACATTTTTAAGATATTTTTTTAGTTAATGTAAAAATTTATAATACTGATATAAGTTTTTTTTTTTTCATTCACAAATAATATCTCCACTGCATTAGAACTTGTTATTGCAAAGCTTAAAGTTGAATTTAAAAAATTTGTAAGCAACGGCACAAAATAAGTAATACTGCGAATGTAAATATATATATATATATATATATTGATATTGCATGAATTTATATTTTAAAGAGTAATTGTTTTTAAATATTAATACAATATGGTGATTAATTTTTTTACATAAAAAATTTCCTTTTACTTTATAAGGTATACACAGTGCTACTTAAGATACACGGTGAACAGTATAATAAAACTATTTCATCTACATTCAAAAAAAATCTTTTTGTTTTAATTCAATGCATCATTTCTGTTTTCTGAATATGTAAAATATTCCATTTTAAAAGAAATAAAAGTAAAACTGAAATATTCAAATAAAATTTTATGACAAGTGAAATATTTTATAATTTAAGATAGTATAAAAGCAGATATAATCTAGATTTCAGTCATTTGTTTTAAGTTCATACATTTTGCTCTAAGAAAATTGCAGAAAAAAAAGCATTGAGAAAATGTTTAATAAACATACCATCTGGAAAAGTGAGAATTTGATTGTGCATTTCTGCAGCTTTAGAAGCTTCTTCTATCTCTTCATCAGATGCTGAAGGTCTACCATATCCAATATTAAACCTGGGGAGAAAAAAAAAACTTCTTTACTGTGTATTATAAGAGTTGAATCTATTGGGTATAATACAATGATTAAGCTACATGTAGTTAGTATGAAATATTGAGTACAATGTAATGGCATTAGCTAAAGATTGTATAGTAGCACATACTTTAATTGCAAATGCAATTAAATTGCAATTAATTTAATTCCTAAATATGTTAATGCAATAAAAAATATCTATGAACTTGTTCAACAATAAATTATATAATTTTAGATAATTAATCCAAAAATTATAATATCAGTTTTAATTGGTGTTAATTCTGGTTAAATGTAGTTTTTAAAATTTGCATCAAACAAAAACTTTATTATAGTTTATCTAAAATAAGAACTCCTCCAGACATTTGTCAGGACCTGTGGCGGTGACTATGGTAACGAGGTATGACTATTTCAAGTAGGGGTGCGGGGTCACTGTTTTGTAGTGGTTTCGGATCGGCGGGAGTAAGGGAATCTTTTTCTCCGGACCATTGTGTTAGTCCGAAAGTGAAGCTACCCTTCCTAAAATGCGCCATTCTTGTTTCCATAGCACCAGACGGCCTCAGACTTTGTGGCGGGAGGAATTCTTAGCTTAGACAGACTATATAAACTCAATGCAATAAACTTAAAATATCTTAGAGTCTGTATTTAAGGTAAAAGGATGAAAATAGGCAATCAATCTTGAGGAGGGTTACAATAAAAGGGCATGCCGTTTAATTTTAAACAAGTAATCAGTACTCAATTAAATATTATTGATATCAGTCACTGAAGAAGCATGTACAAAAGAGAAAAAAAATTGCAATAAGAGACAGTCCAAATTAGAGATATTAAAAAAATATTAATGACTCCTGTGATTAAATTTCTTCAATTGCTTGAGAAGCAAACAATCATTTTACAGTAAATAAAATTAATAATTTATCCATAAAGAAATCTAGTAGCTAAAACTTACATATTTTTTTTAATAAATATTTTAATATGTAATAGTTTTAATGAAATTTTATTTTAAAAACTATTCATAATTGCATAATAAATTCCATAAATTTTAATAAATATTTTCAGCATTAAATAACATGTTTATTTAGAGAACAAAGAGGAAAAAAAATTTTCTGACCTAATAGATTTGTTAAAAAGTACAGTATCTTGGGGAACTACTCCTATACACTGACGTACAGATTTCTGAGTAACCTAAAACAGAAATTAAAAATATCTCAAACAAGAATAAAAAAACTAAAATGAGAAGGATGATGATCTTTTTATCCTATTTATGTGAAAAGAAATTTCGTAAAAACTTTATAAACATGATTTTAAATCAAATTGCAAAGAATCTTAGAAACAAATAGATCATTTCAAAAAAGTTATATTGAGAGCTATTAAAATTTCTTTTGCAAAATGTATGCTTCAAATGTTTTTTTTTTAAACATCTCAAAGATTAGATAATATTTCAATTATCAATATTTTCTTATATAATCATGCAAACAAATTGCTCCAAAATATTAATATATCCATTAATATTAATATAACTAATGCAATATGACTAATGTAATAAACTAATAATGTAAATGAGTAGCATAAACTCTTAATAAAATTATGTCTGTAAATAGAATTTAAAAAAAATTAAAATAGTCATTCGACACCATTTATATTTAACATAGTGAATACAATAGATTTTGCAATTCACAGTTTATTTTATAAATTATAAGTTGATGTTTGCAGAACTTTTTTAAACAGAATAAAAGAAATGCAATGAAATTCTGTGGGTGAAAAAAATTACTTATTGCTTTGTACAAAACATTGAACAATTGAATGAGCACTTTTTGGTAGAGCTGAAATTATCTGTTTACCCTGAAATTTTTTTACTTCTTTACTGCAACCTTAGCTGAGCTATTAATTTTTGCTTTTATTCATCATAAATGAATTAAATAAAATATCAACTCATTCTCCATTAATTTACAAACATAAAAACAATAAGAATTTAACACTGTGAAAAATAATCACTTTAGCTATATTTTGTCCATCAATGAAAATTTCTCCAGATTGCACATCATAAAGTCTAAATAAAAGTCTTGTTATTGTGCTTTTACCGCTACCAGTAGGACCAACCTGAAACAATTAAGTTTAAATCAATAAAAACATTTTTCTTCAAAAAAAAAAAAAAAGAATATGTTATTATGCATAAGTAATTTTTACTGGTTTACTATTTAAAAAATTTTCAAAACCAGTTCTGTAAGTTATCTCATTAATTTTTTTATGATACATTTTTTGTTAAGAGAAAGTATACCCAGTATCAATCAGATTATCAGAGTAAATTATATAAATTGTTTAAAAAGAAATATATAATTCTTTTTCTTTGGTGATTGTTATAGTCAGCATAAAAATGCAAATTCCCTCTCACACTCACAATGCATTTGTTTTGTTTGAATGCTTCTTAAATGTGCAGAACTTAATCATGATTGCTTTACAATGATAAACTTTAAAAGTAACAAGAATTTTAATAAATTATGCATTTATTTTTGAAAATCAGAGTGAAGGAAAGAAACAAAATATTTTGCAAATAAAATTATATGCACTGATATAACTAAAAAAAGTAGACACATAGGTTTAGTTGAATTTTTTTTCATCAGGTAATAAATACTATTCAAGTTGTAATAAAATCACTAGGTTTTGCTTTGAATAAAATTTATTCTTCCCATAAAGTATCTAAATTCGTTTCATGAGAATTTCAGTGTATGTTAAGAACTTAGTTTTAATATTTTAGTAAGGAGATAAGTTTCTCTCTTTCAAAATATTTTAAACTTTTGTGGAAAAAAAAACATGTTTAGTCAAAAAACTATCATGCCAATCCCTTCTACAAATTAAGGTTAAAACCTGTTTTTAAATTTCAGGGATTACAAGGATATTATAAAATGAAAAAGTTGCCCAACTTACCAATGCAACAGTGCGCCCTGCAGGAACTTTAAAACTAATGTTTTTCAGGATTTGACGCCTAGAAAATGGATGGATCAATAAAAATTGTTCAATCTACAAAGAACATCATAAATTAAATGAATAAAATAAAAAAATTCTTACTCAGGAATGTAAGAAAAATTAACATCTCTGAATTCTATTCCTCCAAAACCAATTTTCAATGGAAGAGCATTTGGAATGTCAACAATCTAAAAAAAGAAAAATCTTTAAAAAAATAAGGTCATTGATCTTAATTTTGCTTAAACCTTTTCAAATGTCCTTGTTACAGACATGCACATGCATCAAAGTTTTTTTAAAAAGAATTTTTAATAATAAGATAAATTGAATAAGAACAAGATAAGCTGATCACACCAAACAGTAACTAAACACAAGTTATTTATAAATTAACTAAAAATGGAAATTAAATATTCTTTTTTGTGCTAAATTTATAGAATAATTATTTCATAAACAATAGCATTTTACAGATCCTTATTTTTAAATAAAACAACTAATTTCATTAATTATTCATTATTTTGCTGAAGTGAATTATTTCTTACAAATAAATTGCATATTGCAACATTTTATTTAAAATTAATGAATAAATAAACAAAAAATATGTAAATAAATTATTTAAAAAAGAATAATTAAAAAAAAAACTTATTGTTTTTAAAAGGAAACATTTTTTATATATGAATTCATTTCCTAAGAATTGAGTAATTGCAGAATAATGAGTTAATAAGTAAAGCACATAAGCTGCATTAATCATTATCACTAGTTTATGGTAAATCTTGTTTAAAAGTCCATGGAGTGAGTCTGCAGCACTATCTTCATAATTCCAAATTTGTCTCCAACCTCAACACAGACAGATATTATAATTGTAAAAATTCAGCTAAATCTTACATGTATGTAGAAAGATTTCCCAAATATAAGGTTCTTAAAAATTACACATAAAAACTTAATGTTATTTAAATTTAAGTAGAATTATATATAATGATACATCAAATAGGATAAATTCCTATACAATTAACTCTGTAATCAAGTAACAAAAAGAAAAAAAAATCTTAACTTTTTTTGTGTTTTCTGAATTCAGCATTTTTAATTTTTATTAGAAACAAGTTAAAAGTATTTTTATTAGTAGATGTTTTAAAAAGGAACTTCAGCAATTTTTTCCCATTTGCTTATTTGCTTTTTAAAAATAAAACAAAAATCTACCGAAAAAATTATCCGTAGAGGCAGCAATAATTTTCAGTACCTGCTACTTTGCTGGAGGGTTTCTGTTACCAGAATGTCACATATAGTCTGGTTTTTCAATTTTTTTTTGAGCTTTAAAATGTTACCATAGATTTATAAATTTTACTAATTCTAAATCTAAATTACATAATATAATTTTAAAATATATTTTTTAGATCTAAAAATAAGATAAAATTACTAATTTAAACACTCAGAGAATATATTCATTGATTTTACCTCTGGTTCTGTACTGAGTAGAGTAAACATGTTTTCCATGTCGACAAAAGCAGTTTGCACCATTCTAAATTAAAAATTAAACTAATATTTAATTAGGCCAGTAAACATAAAATAAAGTGAGTTAAATTCATAAAAATGGGTTTTGTAAATATAGATAGTTATGTGCGAGCAAAACTGCCTTAATTTTTAAAATTAAAACACTTAAAACTAATAAAAAAAAATTATTTTTTTATGAGCAAAATAGCTGTTTCAAAGTATAAATACATAAAAGAGTAAATTTCAAATTCATTCACATACAACAATAACTTTTATATACATAAAAGTATAATTTTTAATATACAAATACTTTTTTTTTTATAATTGAAGCAAAAATTTTATATTATTACTTTCCTTAACCTTTAAATTGGACAAATCTGTTAAACTATTAAGTAGTTGTAAATAATGACAATTTAAAGTGAATATGAAAAGTAACAGACGCATTAATTCTCAAATCAAAATATTTTTAACGGAAGAGTCTTTTTATAATGTTTTCCAGAAATTACTGTATATTAAATGACTTATAAATTAACATTCTATTTTTACAAAAGAGTATTTATTGGAATAAAAAAATACTTTATGTTTGAACATAAAAGTAACTGAAACTTATCTACTTAATATTAAAGAGGGTAACAAATTCTGGAATGATCAAGACTAAGTTTTAAACTATACATAGTAATTTTGAGTTAGAAAATTAAAAATCAGAAAAACTGATTTCATAAAATAATAGAATAGTCATTAAGCCACAGCCAAGATTAAATACATAAATTTTCTATCACTAAAAAGCAAGTTACCAGAATAATAGCAAACGAAATATCATGCAGTAAGCTCCAGGTATAGTTTAGCAATGATAAATTGATAATGATAAATTCAGATGAGCGAACTCAACAGATAACCCACAAAATAAAGTTATGCAAATACAGTATGTTACATCAAAAACACCGCTAAGTTAATTCTAACTGATATTTACTAATAATATTTTTACTGCTAAAAAGAAATATCCATATGAAGACAGGGTATACTTTGTGCAACATATAAATGAAGCAAAACAAAGTGAATGCAGCACAAATAAAGGAGTGCACAAAAATGAACGTACTATAGTTTCATTTCCATAAACAAAACTGAGAAACGTTCTTGTTTATATAACCAGTCTCCATTCTCGTGCTTTTCTTTATTTATGCTTTACTCGTACTGCTTTTCTGTATGCAATATGTTTATCAAAAATATAGAAGAAAGATTGCATATCTGGTCAAAATTTGCAGACAATACATAGTGGAACAGAACTTCTCACACATACTTAAAATATTCTGTTCGATTAAACAGATACAATCAAAATATTCTGTAATACCCTCAAAATATTCTGTTTAATCAAACAGAATATTTTGAGAATTTTTTATGTTGATGAGTATAATATTTAATATTATCGACAGAACATCTTGAGTATAATACTTTGTTCACATAAAATTTTGTTCAACCGAACAGAATTTTACAAGGACAAAACCTTATGGGCCTTAATCTATTCATATACTAAACAAGATAGAACATATTCTCTTCATATATTAAACAAAATGGGACACAGGCAAAGATGAATGTGAAATAAAATCTCACTCAGACAAAATTTCATGAAACAAAAAAAAGAAATATCTCCATGGAAAAACAAACATCTATTATAAGCACATTATATATCATTCTCAAAAATGTGATGGTTTACCTGTAATATGTGCCAAAAAAATTTAGTGGTGTATATAACTGCAAGATGTATGTGCTAAATAGAACATAATCACCAGATGTTAATTTTCCTTCAACAACATAATGAGCACAAAGTAAAGCTCCGGCCAATACACCAATACTGATTGCAGTATTCTGAGCAGTATTTAGCAGATTTAAAGAAGCTGTTGAAATCCATTCAGCTTCCTGAAATACATAATTTGCACTTAGTTTGTAAAAATTATCTGATAAAAATAAAATAAACACTAAATAAATAAAATATTGCATTTAAAATTAATACAAAATCACTTAAAACTACAGGGGTGATTGTGAGCCCAACTAAAAAATGCCGAAAGATTCTTGAGTAAAGTTATTAATGACGCATGTCAAAAAATTAATGTCCTTATAAATTTAAATGAATAATTTACTTTTATCTCTAATCACATTTATTATTCTACCAGACAAAATATTTACAAATGAAAGAGATACCAAGTATATTTCTAATTATATTGGGCTGATGCATAAGTTCCCGCGTTTCGTTGAATTTAAAAAATTTGCATTGAAAATGAAATGCATTGACATAATCTTTTCTACAAAATAGTGTATTTCACTTTTTTGTTGACTTTAATTTTTGCTACTTTTTAGAGCATTTAAATGGAGTGTCAAGTCGAGAAAAACGAGCATTTTCGACACCACCTTCTTTTTGCGTTTAATCGAGGTGCCAAAGCCACAGAAGCTGCTAGAGATAGTTGTGCCGTGCGATTTCAAATGCTTTATGCGACGTTTCGGTCATTAATGATGTCGAATTACAGACTTGGTTGGACGACTTTTTCGAGATGCTTCCGGGTGTTTCTACCGAAGAGGTGTCGAAAAACTCGCTGAACGTTGGGAAGAAGTCATACACAACAACGGAGAGTACATTGTTGATTAAATTGTTGTTATTTTATGCCAAAACAATTAAGTTTTAATTTTTTTTTAAGAACGCAGGAACTTATTTATCAACCCAATATTATCTAGTATATTAAGTACATTATCTAATTATAATATTTTTTTATAAAATATATAAGAATTTTTATACATAAATGTGATCGATGATTTCCAGAAACTTCTGGAGAGCAGTAAGTGTAAAATCCAGAGCACAATCATCTCTGAAACGAACATTAAACTTGAGATTTTTTTAAACATAAATAGTTTTTCCTGGTAAAAAAAAGATTGATATTTGATTATAAACTCATAAGTTATTTCAAATTTGTTATAAAAGAGATTTTTTAAAATTTATGATCAGTTGCAAAATATTTATTTATTGCAAATTTTTCTATGTTTGTACATTTAAGAGGCTGGGTGGCGAAGTTGGTTTGTCGTCGGCCTTCTGAGCCCAAGTCTGCGGGTTCGATCCCCGGCCCAGACACCGGATTTTCGGGATGCAGAAAATCCTCAGCGGCCTTGTCGTATGATTATGCGGCATGTAAAAGATCCCTGGAGTGCCTTATTGGCTCTTGGCATTCCCGGCAAAATTAAATTCCTAGTGCACTTTAGCATCCAAATAGAGTCTCGGTGCTGCCATCTAGTGTGGCAGAAACTAGACGTCCAAATTAACATGACCAACGGTATCTCACCCATTGTGGTGGTCATGAAAGAGTGGATACCACCTCTGGAGAGCGCACTAGGTCTGCTTATCGGCAAGACTGATTGTGCAGCTCATTGGAAATAAAAAAAAAAAACATTTAAGAGGAACTAGATATTTAAATTTTATTCACATATGTTTTAAAATCACGGAAAAGAAATAAATAAACAGTTTAATAGAATAACAATAATACTTTTAATTCAATAGTTAAAATACAAATATATTTATAAATGTAATTTACTTTAATACTTTTATACTTGAATTCTGGTGGTACATACCTGGTACTTATCAATGCATTTTTCGTAGTTTTCTGATTCAAATAATTCTGCATTATAATATTTCACCTAAGATATATAATACAAAATATACTTTCTCTTTCAGAAGGCAAAATAATTAATAAGAAAATAAAATTTCTTAAAAGTAAATTTCGAGATATATAGAAGAAACATATTGTAGAAATTAACTTAAATTGAACTATCAAATTTAGTCCTAATACCTAGATTTAACATTATTTTTAATGTGTAGCAGTGTTTCGAAAGTTTTTGCAGGAAAAAAATATGCTTTGAAAATTTATACCAGCAAAATAGGATTTATTAGAATACTGATTAAATAATTAAGTGGTAAAAAGTATATACCATATTTAATAAAAGCAATATGTTAATTTTAAAACCAAAATGATTTTAATAAAACATTTTAAAAGAACTAAATCTAAGTTGCTTAATAAGTTCAGATACTTTTTAATGAAGTATAAATTAGAGATTAACAACTAAAAGAATAGTGCTAAAATTTACTGCTTGATAAAAATTAAAGATATTTTACTAAATTGAATTATCAATAAAAATCATAAAAAATTAAATCACACATTCAAAACAACCTGATTTAAAAAAAAAAAAAGTTTTATTAAAGTCATTTACAAAGTTTTCAGGGTTCCCACTCAATTCTAGGAAAAAAATTCCCTGAGCTTTCCAGGTATATAAGGTAAATTTTAATAAAAATTCATCCCATATTTTATCTATACCATGCTATTTTTCATCAGAAAACTTTGATTTTTTTTTAGAATGAAAATGGAAACGTGGAAAAGTTTCACTAAGAGGTGAGATTTTAGAATTCTTTTTTAATAGATGTTAGAATTATTTAAATCGAATCTCAATAACTCATTACTGTCATTGACAAGTCTAAGACTGGTTATTTTCCAGGTACAATATAGAAATTTTCCTGGTTCTTTGTAAAAGATTGCAACTTTCCCTGACTATTCCCTGCTTTTTAGAGTTGAAATAAAATTCCCTGGCAATTTCAGGTTTTCCCTGCTCTCCCTGACCCGTTGGAACACCGGTTTTACTTATGAAATCAAGTTTGTAAATTAAACGATAGATTACCTTAAATGTAAATAAAATTTTTCCAAATGACAAAATTATTATAAATGTTTTTTATTATTTTTTTATTTCTTTTTACATGTTTTTTTCTTTTTTAAAAAAATTCTGTGATGAATATATTAACTTTGTTTACATTAACTTTTGAGCAATGAAACCTAAACTGAGTATGGTAAAACCTGGTTATTCTCCTCTACAACCAACTGGGTTTTTTTTCAATGCAACTCTTTGCAAAATAGTAAGCAGCAGAAAAATTCTTACACAAATTTGTCCAAAATGCTTAGCAATTAAAACAAAGGATTATGGTAAGTGGATTGGCCAAAATATAAAAAATTATGGATTGGCCAAAATATAAAAAACTGAAGAAGAAAAAAAATGAAATAAATATTACTTAAGATTTTTAATTCTCAAACAACACTTTCCACAGAATATTTTTACTATAATCTACTAATAAAGATACTTTTACATAAATTTTTACAGCTAAAGATTTCAGATATCCATTAGTTTGCGAGTAAGCAAAATTTGTACTAAAAAATTGTAATTTGCATAAAACACCTTTCAGTTACTTTGATTTTATGTGAATAAAAATGTTAAAAGAAGGTGAGAATTTGTCTTCATAATTACAAAGCAGATAAATAACATCTCTAACTTTAATGCATCATTATATTTCTGAATCTTCAAGTCATAACAATATGTAAGGAGGATATAAGAATCACGATACTTCTCTAAAATAAATATTTTAATTTCATGCCAGAAAAATAGGAAACAAATGTGACTTTGTATTCATAATTAACAAAAACGGGCTAAATTATACTCCTGACTGCAGTACAGTATATTTATGAATCTTAAATAACAAAATATATGAAGCTGTGTGTAAACTTAGTTAGAGAAAATATCTTTAAAAAATACTGACACTAAAGCAAAGCCAAAATTATATTTATTTTGATTATAAGAACAAAACTTTAACACCTTAAAAATGCTTTGAAAGGAGGCATTTAAATCAAAATATGCCTCAGTAATTGAATATTTTCCCAAAACTGCACAACTGAATCAATAAAAATATCATTTCCAAAATTACAAAATGCACACTATTCAAATCAATGTTATGAGGTTTTTTTTAAATAGACATTTGATTTTTACACCTATCCTCTTTTTGCGCTATTGTGGCATTCTTTAGACATTTATGTCACTTTAAAGTTGAAATAAATCAAGAACTACATACTTATTTGGGCATGTGTATATACATAAATTTCTCATCAGTACATAACTCTCTCATAGTATAACAAGCAGGGGTGTTTGTGGGACCCCAAAAAATCCCCTGAAACTTTTACGGACTTACTACCGACATTTTGGAGTTTCGAGAAGGGGGGGGGGAGAAATGAAAAATTACAATTATGAAGTATTGAATGACCTAATTATAAAAGTTCAATGAATTACTTTTTTTGCAAAATTAATAACCATAAATTTTCAAACATATAAACTACTACATTTTATGTAAATATTTTAAATTACCTGAATTAATTCTTTAAAAAAAATTATCTAATTTCTGCTGCTTTTTTTAATTTTCTGATGTTTGTGGGCTTGTCTTTCTTTTGTGGTGAACTTCATAATTGCAGGAAGGTTGACTTTTATTTTCCTCATTTACAGTTGAANCAAAAAAAAGAAATATCTCCATGGAAAAACAAACATCTATTATAAGCACATTATATATCATTCTCAAAAATGTGATGGTTTACCTGTAATATGTGCCAAAAAAATTTAGTGGTGTATATAACTGCAAGATGTATGTGCTAAATAGAACATAATCACCAGATGTTAATTTTCCTTCAACAACATAATGAGCGCAAAGTAAAGCTCCGGCCAATACACCAATACTGATTGCAGTATTCTGAGCAGTATTTAGCAGATTTAGAGAAGCTGTTGAAATCCATTCAGCTTCCTGAAATACATAATTTGCACTTAGTTTGTAAAAATTATCTGATGAAAATAAAATAAACACTAAATAAATAAAATATTGCATTTAAAACTAATACAAAATCACTTAAAACTATAGGGTAGATTGTGAGCCCAATTCAAAAATCCTGAAAATTCCTTGAGTAAAATTATTAATGACACATTTCAAAAAATTAATGTCCTTATAAATTTAAATCATAGATTGATTCTAAATATGCAGCATAATTTAAAAGAACAATTTACTTTTATCTCTAATCACATTTATATTCTACCAGACCAGACCAGACAAAATATTTACGAATGAAAGAGATGCCAAGTATATTTCTAATTATATATATATATATATATTCAATGGCGGGCACTTGGGGTTTGTCCCATTGGCCACAGAAATGCCAGAACTGCCACTCTCTTCTCCTTAGGCAGTGGGCATCTGTGGCGAAGCCACGGCGGTGGAGTAGCGTCGCCCACGTCACACAACCACAAACCCGTTTATAGGGCGGGTCACATTCACACAAAGAGGAAAGGACATAGAACACAGAGAGAGAAAGAAACATCCCTGCCCTGAGCAGGATTCGAACCCGCGGCCAATAGCTCCGCAGTCAGACACGCTAACCACTCGGCCACCTGGTCGGCATTTCTAATTATATTATCTAGTATATTAAATATATTATCTATTTCTAATATTTTTTTTAAAAATATAAAAGAATTTTTATACATAAATGTGATCGATGATTTCCAGAAACTTCTGGAGAGAAGCAAGTGTAAAATCTGGAGCACAATCATCTCTGAAACTAACATTAAACTTAAGATTTTTTTTAAACAACATAAATAGTTTTTCCTGGTAAAAAAAAATATTGTAATTTGATTTTAAACTAATAAGTTATTTCAAATTTGTTATAAAAGAGACTTTTTAAAATTTATGATCAGTTGCAAAATATTTATTTATTCAAATTTTCCTATCTATGTTTAAACATTTAAGAGGAACTAGATATTTAAATTTTATTCACATCTGCTTTAAAATCACAGAAAAGAAAAAAATAAACAGTAGAAATAACAATTTAATAGAATAACAATAATACTTTTAATTCAACAGTTTAAAAAAAATACAAATATATTTAGAAATGTAATTTACTTTAATACTTTTATACTTGAATTCTGGTGGTACATACTTGGTACTTATCAATGCATTTTTCGTAGTTTTCTGATTCAAATAATTCTGCATTATAATATTTCACCTAAAATATATAATACAAAATATATATTCTCTTTCAGAAGGTAAAATAATTAATAAGAAAATAAAATTTCTTAAAAGTAAATTTTGAGATATATAGAAGAAACACATTGCATTATTGAAGAATATTACATATGGAAGAAACATATTGAAGAAATTAACTTAAATTGAACTATTCAATTTAGTCCTAATACCTAGATTTAACATTATTTTTAATGTGTAGCAGTGTTTTGAAAGTTTTTCCAGGAAAAAAATATGCCTTGAAAATTTATACCAACAAAATAGGTTTTATTAGAATACTAATTAAATAATTAAAAGTATATACCATATTTAATAAAAACAATATGTTAATTTTAAAACCAAAATAATTTTAATAAAACATTTTAAAAGAACTAAATGTTGCTTAATAAGTTCAGATATTTTTCAATGAAGTATAAATTAGAGATTAACAACTAAAAGAATAGTGCTAAAATTTACAGCTTGATAAAAATTAAAGATATTTTACTAAATTGAATTATCAATAAAAATCATGAAAAATTAAATCACACATTCAAAACAACCTGATTTCAAAAAAAAGTTTTATTAAAGTCATTTACAAGGTTTTCAGGGTTCCCACTTAATTCTAGGAAAAAAATTCCCTGAGTATCCCTAGGTATATAAGGTAAATTTCAATAAAAATTCATACCATATTTTATCTATACCATGCTATTTGTCATCAGAAAACTTTGATTTTTTTTTTAGAATGAAAATGGAAACATGGAAAAGTTTCACTAAGAGGTGAGATTTTAGAATTTTTTTTAAATAGATGTTAGAATTATTTAAATCGAATCTCAATAACTGATTGCTGTTATTGAAAAGTGTAAGTCTGGTAATTTTCCAGGTACAATATAGAAATTTTCCCGGCTTTTTGTAAAAGATTGCAACTTTTCCTGACTATTCCCTGCTTTTTAGAGTTAAAATAAAATTTCCCAACAATTTCAGGTTTTCCCTGCTCTCCCTGACCCTTTGGAACACTGGTTTTAGTTATGAAATCAAGTTTGTAAATTAAACGATAGATTACCTTAAATGTAAATAAATTTTTTACAAATGACAAAATGATTTTAAATCCTTCCTATTATTTTTTTATTTCTTTTCTCATGTTTTTTCTTTTCTTTTTTTAAAATTCTGTGATGAAGAGGTTTATATTAACTTTTGAACACTGAAACCAAAACTGAGTATGGTAAATCCTAGTAATTCTCCTCTACAACTAACTGGGTTTTTTTTAATGCAATTCTTTGCAAAATAGTAAGCAGCAGAAAAATTCTTACGCAAATTTGTCCAAAATGCTTAGCAATTAAAACAAAGGATTATGGTAAGTGATTGGCCAAAATATAACAAACTGAAGAAGAAAAAAAATGAAATGAAATAAATATTACTTAAGATTTTTAATTCACAAACACTTTCCACAGAATATTTTTACTATAATCTACTATTAAATATACTTTTACATAAATTTTTACAGCTAAAGATTTTAGATAACCATTAGTTTGAGAGGAAGCAAAATTTGTACTAAAAATAATAAAATAAGGTGAGAATTTGTCTTCATAATTACAAAGCAGATAAATAACATCTCTAACGTCAATGCATCATTATATTTCTGAATCTTCAAGTCATAACAATATGTATAAAGAGGATATAAGAATCACGATAGTTCTCTAAATAAAAAATATTTTAATGATTTTAATTTCATGCCAGAAAAATAAGAAACAAATGTGACTTTTTATTCATTATTAACAGAAAGGAGCTGAATTATACTCATGACTGCAGTACACTATAATATTTATGAATCTGAAATAACAACATGTATGAAACTGTGTGTAAACTTAGTTAGAAAAAATATCTCTGCACAATTGAATCAATAAAAATATCATATTTAAAGTTACAAAATGCACACAATTCAAATCAATGTTTCGAGTTTTTTTTAATAGACATTTGTTATTTACACCTATTGCCTTATTGTGCTATTGTGGCTTTCTTTAGACATTTACATCACTTTAAAGTTGAAATGAATCAAGAACTACACACTTAACCGACTAAGCATTTGGGTATGTGTATATACATAAATTTCTTATCAATACACAACTCTCTCATAGTATAAAAAGGTAAGCTGGTTTTACAACTGGCAAAACAATAAGTAGAAAGACGTTTTCAGGTGCAGCTAATACCCAGATGGTAAATAGCAACAAAGATTTTTGAAAAAATATTCAATTGAATAAAATATTACATTGAATAAAATATTACATTGAATAAAATATTCAATGTAAAAATAATAAACTGCCTGTTATAATTAGAAATCAACTCACTGTTTCAAAGTTAAGTAAAGAGTCAACACATTGTGCCTCAACTGCATTGTCCAACTTATTTGCATCCCGTCTAAATTTTGTTCTCCATTCCGTAAGATATATTGTAGATCCTAAAAAAATAGATTATTCAACAAAACAGAATTGTGTAGGAAAAAACACAAAGAACGACTAATAAAATACCTAGAATACATGAACAAGAATAAAATTAATAAAAATATATAACAGAACTCAAATAAAACAATTCTTTAATCCAACTAAGAAAAATATTGATGACATATTTAATGCTAGAAGGTTAATAATAACCCGTATGAAGGTAAATCAATAAATCTTTAAATAATAGTTATGGATTTCTTTTTCATTGCCAAATAGCTTTTAATGCTCTTGTTTGAATGGAAATTGATAAATAGAAGAAAAATTTCCATATTAACTTATGTTAAAGAAAAACAGTTACATATTAAAACTTCTTTTTTTTATCTTCTTACCGGCGTTTAACAGCCGACCCAATTCTGAGTTTATGATTATCAGTGTTCCAACTCCTTAGCCTTGTAATTTTGAACTAAATCCAGATGACAAGGAAACTCTTGGATCAAGCATAGGGACAAACTACTTTTTGTGGAGGATTTTTTGAGGGAACTAACCCGCATTTGCAATACATAAAGAGGAAAATTACAAAACATTTCCACGGTTAGCCTGATGGCAAGGGGATTCATATCCATGATGTGTCTACCACTGAGTACATTTACAAATTAAAATGTAAAGTGTCCTTAACAACTTTTATTAAATAATAATATTAAAAGCAGGAACATATAACTTATGGCGCTGGGGCCAAAAGTGGCCTATCTAAATCTTTGGACGAAGTCCCTGAATAATATCAAATATTAATGAAATAAAAAAATCACCATTTGGAAAAAATACTGTTGTTTTCAGATGCCAATTTTTCTTTAACAGTACATTCTGATTCTTTGTTTAGTTACTGCGTTCGTGGAAGTCTAAACTCAACTTGAAACACTTTGTTTCACAAGTTTTGTTTACAGTTATAAGTTTAGTATTTCTCGTGAAAGGTAATTTTTTGCAAATTTGTAAAGCAGTTAAAGAATTAATGCAATAAAAACATTTTAATTCCAGTGGAAATTTATTTATGGTGATATAAGTGTAAGGTAATAAATATTTGCATTATACCAGATGTGCAAAAGTAATAAATTAGTTTCATGATAAGGACTTAAACTTTTTGAATAAAATTTAAAAAAACACCAAACTAATCAAAAATTTATTCTTACCTAAGTATATAGTCATGGTAACAAAGACTATTAAACCAAACCATGGGTTAAATGCAACAGCAAAATAAATTACAGCTATGAAGATATCAGCAAAAGTGGGAATGATGTTGAACACAATGTAACTGAAAATATAAAATTAAATTACAATAAACATACTAAGCATTTTTGATTTTGATTCTTTCTTCATACATTATCGAAATAGCTGAAAAAGGATTAATGATTTGATTGACTTATTTTTGAAAAGTTAGAAGTAGTCCATATTCTAACATTTTCAAAATTATGTATTGTATTTGTAGTATTGCAATAGAACCAGTATTAAACAAAAAGTTCATGAAACAAACAAACGATTTTTGAATCTGATCACCCTGGTATCAGAATTGACTGAGACATCTGGTACATCTTCATCGCTGCAACTATGCTTGCAATCTCAATGCAGTAGACAAAGACTAAAGCTTAATCTCGCATATACTGCACATAGTAAAATTTGCATAAATAAGAGATAAAACTTATTCAAAAAATTTGTTTTGCTAATTTGAGTTTTGTACTAGACTAATACTAAAGAATGAATCCCTAGATAGCCAGTAATAATATAACCAAAACTTTTGGACAAGAATTGTTTTAAAGCTTTTAAAATACACAAAATGAATGATCTAACTATTACAAAGCAGGTAAAAATAATAAACCATAGATGCTAAGAAATCCCAACACTTTTTTGTTAAAATAAAGACATTTTCATGGTCTGTAACACTTTTCATAACATGTTTTAAACCCAAAATCTTCATTGCTTATTTAATAATGTTATTTAACTAATACCACAAAGTTCCTCATAAAATAATGCTAAAAAATAAATTTTCTTTACAAATAATAAATACACATACACATGTTCATTATTATACACTTCAAATATCAATTATTTTTGCTAACAAGCAATTGCACATCAACATGAAACATTAATAATCTTACCCCAATAAATTACTTATGCTGCTTGTACCTCTATCCATGACACGCAAAACTTCCCCAATCTTTCTACCCAAATGCCAATTTAAAGACAAACTGTAAAATAGGTATGAAATATGTAGAAAGTAGCAATAAGAATATTCAAAATTTCCAATAAAATATATTATTACAAAAAATGTTTCCTTACCTATGTAAATGGTTGTACATATTTACTTCAACTTCTTTCACAGTGTATTGCTGTACTCTGATCCACAAGAAGGAACGAATATTATTCATAAAGCTATTGCTACCTGAAAAATATAAGTTTTTGTAAAATGTTTAATTTTATTAAAATACTAAAATACCTAAAAGAATAATGAATGAAAAGAAAATACAATCATTATTATAATAATACCTTGCCCTTGGAGAAACCAAAATGCCACATATATACAGATATAATCCCATCTAAACGTCATAATGGAACGATCTACAGTCAAACTGTTAACTAAAAAAATAAAATGAATGAGATTATATTCACTTCATAAATGAAAAAAATTTTAAAAATATAATACAAATTTTAGCATGTTAATTTAACACTTAGCATGTAAAAACACCTAGCATGTTAATTTACCCAAAGAATTATTAAGGCACAAATTAATTGCAAAAAAGAGAGAGAGCATTATTGAGATTATACTGATTACCCATTGGTAATTTTTTTCTTTTCTTTAATAGACTTAACACTTCAAGTCATGGGTTGCAAAAACTGCATTAATAGATAAGTGTTCTCTTGTATGATGGGTGAAATTGGGTTCCAATTCCAGCAATATTCGTTCCTTAAGGCATCACACAATTCTTTTCTTTTTGAAATATTCATATTTATATTAAAATTGCAGCCAAGGGACTAATTATGAATAACTTAATCATAAAAAGAACTTAAAAATACATAAATATTATGTAAAAACTTAGGAGATGGATGCTGGTGAAAATAAAATGAAAAAACTCAGTGTTGAAAACAATCAACTCCTAAAAGTTCCAAAATTATTGTCTGCTTTTTTTCTTTTCTTTTTTTAAAATTTGATTTCATTGTACAGCTTTTTTATTAACGCTTATGTTAGCTTAATTTTTTTATGATTCCTACAACAATATTCTAACAACTCTTTATTTATAATTATGGAGTTGAAGTTAATCTAGTTAAAAAGTGTGCAGACATGAAAAACTTAGAACAACACACATTTTCCAATGAACAAAAACACAAAAAACTGAACTTACTGATATATTTGTTATACTGAGGAACAAAAACAGTGATAACTCTTCCTGCAATTAGGAAACCAAAGCAACAAATTACTCTAAGTTGCAATAACTTATTTTTCTTTGGCCACAAAAATGGAATCAACCTCTTGCATTTCACCCAGAAATCTGAAAAGGCAGAAGAATTTCTTGGGGGTGACTGTGCTCCACTTTCAAGAAGATTCTAGAATAAAAGCATTAATTGAAAATTTTAATGACCTTGTATGAAAAATTATAAATGTAACAGAAATAATTAAAGTTTACCTCAGCATCAGCTTGAATACTCAAATGAGAGTACATGATAAGATCTTCCGGCTTTGGAATACCAGGCGCTTTTAAGCCTATTCCAAATAATAAGCAGCAACATGAATATCGGAGAACAAAGTAACCCAATTCCACCTTATCAGATAAACTGAAAAACAAAATTGTTAGAAAAGTTTAGGAACATAAATAATTTATAATCTGTTCAAATTTGAGTTTCATTAACAAAACAACTCAGAAGAATATATAAATCCATATTTTAAAAATCACTTTAAATTTCAAAGTTGAGAAACACATTATGATCCTGAATATTAGTTACCTTTAATTTACAAATATAAGCACATCAAAGCATAAGCCAAGACTTTGCTTCCTTGTTGAAAATTTACCCGAAATTCAAAACCAATATATAAGTCGACGCAAAAAAATATATAAGGTGTTATCTTTGAGGGTAACTGTCTCAATTTTCTTGCTGCAGTACCTAGCATCTTAGTTTGTTTATTGTGTCATTTATGTATTATATTCCTATACCCTAAGTTAGAGCACAAAAAAATATATAATTTTTTTCCTACTGTCATTTTTATGACTCAATGGTTTTTTTAAGTGTTTTACTTTCAACTATTATTTTACATACTTATATAATTTTTAAGCACTGTTTTGTGATATCTAAAAATATATTGCTAATGCTTTATTGCTAAATTAAAAAAAAATATATAATAAAAACATTTTTTATCTTGTAAAAATTTTCCAAAAATTCTCAGCTCTAATTCATTAATTTATGGAATAACATTTATTTTTTCTACCATCAAGAAATTATTAATAATTTAAATTTTATTGTTTCACTCAAGCAGCATTCTAATACCAAGTTATATGGATGGCATCAAATCAAACAAATTCTTAGCTCAAACAGTCCAAATTATAAAGCTGAAAAATTTTGCAGAATTTATTTAGCGTATGAAGATGAATATGAGATGACCTTATATTAATAAATAACTCAATTATCTCCCTATAAATAAATTATCCGTTAACCGGGTGCAAGTGAAAAGTCACCGAAAATGTAGACTTTTCTAAACACATAAAAAGGAAATAAAATAAATATAGTTGACTATCGCCTTGCACCTGATTAACTAAAAGTACTTTTTTTGTATTTACCCTTTGCCTGAGCTTTAAAGATGGCTAATAAGTCAATTATTTATAATTTAACCCATTCATAAAAATAAAAAAAAATAGTTTATAGTTAATAACCAGAACATACAGAATTTATCTGAATATTTCACTGAATAGTCAAATTTTGGTCCCACAAGAATATGCAGTATGTAACTAATCAGCTCAGAAAATAAATATATATATATATATACTAGGGATGCACAACCTTTTTGAATGAAGGGCCACTTGCACAGCAGGTAAATAAAATAAAGGTCGCACACATATTTAGTCTTGTTAGTAGCAAATACAGTCGAACTCCGCTATATTGTACCTGGGATATTATATCCCGGATATATTGAACACTTGGATGTAGTGAACTTTTTTAGTGGTCCCGTTTGTACAGTACAGAACCCGTTATCTGGAATTCAGAAAACCAAAAAACCGGAACGAAATTCAGTAAATTTTCCCGCCATTTTCAAAAAAATAATTTTTTTTCCTTATAAGATTTCAGGATTTTTCTTTCTTTTTTGAAAGATGTTTACCTTACCATCATTTTGGAAATAATCATTAGTGTATTACTTCATCTTTTTTTCCTCTTTTTAAGATTATTTCCAAAATTTTTTTTTCAGTTGGGTTTAACAATAAAAAAACGGCTTTTTGTAGCGATTCAGAAAACCGGAAAAATCAGTTATCCGGAATAGCGATGGTCCCGATCGTTCCAGATAATCGATTCCCTACTGTAGTACTATTTAAATGTTATTTTTAAGGCTTATAGTGAACAGCGCAGAACTTAGAAATTTGGTTATAGTGGACCCAAATTATATTTCTCTAAATATCTTTTTCAATCCTCCTTGCAGGTGTTGAGACTGAAAATGAATGCCTTCCTATACAATGTGTAATATTTCACTCCTTTATGCTTATCACAGTTAACTATATTGTAATAAATGTTAAACAGAGCATTTATCTTATACTCCCCCCTCCCTGACAAGCCTCACTTTGTCCCTTTTCCCCAAGCTTGCTCTACAACTAGTTAACTTGGTCACCTGCTGAATTTTTGGAATTCTATTATCTATTCAAATCATATTCTTTACAACTCACCACTTGACAATCAAAAAGGGGAACAATTTAACTGGTTCAACAGCTGCTCTCTTCATATTCTTACATTATTTATTTGAGACAAGACTATTTCAAAAGCAGGAAAAATGGTAAATTCTCTAAAGAGAAAAGCGTTTTTGATAGAGGACAAAGTAAAAATGTATTTAAGATGGAACCAGTAAATTGGCACTGCGTAAGGAATTTTCCTTTTCAAAATCTAGCATGGCACAAATAAAGCACGGCAAAAAGTTATACATTAGATGTAAGATTTAAAACTCACGAGTCATAATAAACATATCAGGAATTTATAAACCATGTGGAGATTAGTAGTTATAAATGCAAAGAAACAACTGAAACGTCACTTGGATTTATGACGGAATCGGCAAAAATTACTCAAATTTGCATAACATAATATCGTATTAAACGAATTGGGTCTTTTGAAGTCTTTTTTTGGGTCTTTCGTAGCAATAACCAATGAAAAAGCGATTGAGAAACAACATAGATCTACAATAGATTCAGTGCAAATTGAGCACATTAAAAAGGGATAACTCAAATGTACGATTCAAAATGTTCGAAATTTTTTTTTTAAACTATTTCATTCAGAGGCTTTCGCAGGCGCACATCAACAGTTGGAGGGGCGCAGGTTGTGCACCCCTAATGTAGATAAAGCAAATACAAAAAGAAACTTGGAATAATATATAGATATCCACATTCTTTAGAATCGTAAATTTTTTTATATATTAACTGATCTTTAGCTTCGTTTCCAGATATGTACATTACAAATTTTCTAAATGTTTGCTACATAACGGCAAACCACCTCAACCAACGGCAAGAAACCTCAAATTGTCTTCATATAAATCACTATTTTTCCCTCATCACAAAATAGTCATCTCAACAATTTGAAAGTGTGAATTATCATTATATTGTTCCAAGAATTTTATAAATATCACATACTTGCTTAAATTGAACCACCAATCTTCTTTCTGAATGTTTAATAGAGTAAGGTTCTCGGAAACAAATATTGCAGTCCAATAAACTAAGAGTACCAAACCATGTCCTCTAGTTGGAATACTAGGCAAAGCTCTATGTCTCTCCAAAAAGATAAGGAACAAAGCAAAGGGAAAAGAAACTGCATACAAAAAGGCACTAAGGAACATGTAACCATAGAGAATTTTATGATAGAGAATCGTGAATTGTAAAATAAGACGACTTAAAGCAGCTAAAGGAAGGATGGTATGACAGAAAATTTGTAATTTATAAAGAAAAGATGGTCGCAAAACTCTTGTATCTACGGTAGTCGAAAATTTCATATACATTAGAATTTGAATTATTCCAAAAATACTAATAAATAAAAAAGCGAAGGACGAAAATATTGTGTCGGCAAAGCAATGAGAGAGACCATGATTTATCCATGGCTTTAAAAACGTAACATTGGGGGGACAGTAATACATTTTAATTGAATGATTTTAATGAATATTAGAGAGCGATAATTAAAAACTTCTAATAAACTCCAATGTCTGTATAGAGCGGCTGAGGCTTCACATCTCACACAGGCTATTTCATGCAATCTTTTGTTTTTGTTTACCTTACAACCACGTTACAGTTGTAAATATAAAACTAAAAATACGGTTAAGGAATGTTCATATTCCAACTGAAAAAAAATCTCTATTAATAATATTGCTATAAGAAAAATTAGCTAAAATTACGAAGAATGGTTTTTTTTAATCCACTTTTCTTTTAAATTTTGATAACAATTAGTACTGGGGATTGTAACTGTAACTTTTAAATTGCTCTCAAATTTTTCATCTCGCTAGTTGGAATGTTACAATTCGCGATCGCAACGAACTATAG